ATGTTTCTCTCTCATCGATGTTTCTAACTCTCTATTCCTCTCCCTTCTTCTCTATAAAAAAATCAATAAAATATATTTAAAAAAATAAGAGCGTGCCTACAAGAAACATATGAAGTCTAGGTGATGGGTATTTTCTACTTGTTTGTATGCTGGAATTTTTGTTGTTGATGTTAATCTGCACCTGGATATCTTTTCCATTGATTTTTATAGAGAGTGAAAGGGAGGGGGAGAGAGGCAGAGAGAAGGAGAAACATCAAATGTAAGAGGGACACATCGATCGGCTGCCTCCCGCACGTGCCCCAACTGGGGCCTAAGCTCGACCTGCAACCCAGGTATGTGCCCTTGACCAGGAATGGAACCCACAACCCTTCAGAGCACAGGACGCTCACCACTCACTGAGCCACATTGGTCAGGGCTGGAAATTTTTTCATAATACTTGTTAAAATAATTGCTTGGGCCATGGCTGCCATTTCCACAATGTGAGAAAGAGTAGGTGAGGTGCCCGCCCTGGGCACATCCCAGAATTATAAGGTGGGATTTCTGAGATGGAAGTGGGCCTAGGTTCTACCAAACCCTTCTTTACAGCATGAGGAAGAGTCAAAGTGCAAGAGGCTTCCCCAGGGCCACAGACAGAACTCCTCGCCGGCTTCCACAGGCCGGGGCGGGGGCGCCTGCGGAGTTGCCTATATCACACACTCACTTAGAGTGCGTGCACACATACACTGGGACATGCACACAGAGAGACACGAACATACACATATGTATACACATATGCACACAAATGCACATGCGTGCACACATACACTGGGACATGCACACAGAGAGACATGCACATACACATATGTATACACATATGCACACTGACATGTATGCACAGACATGTACAGAATGCATATACACACAGATGTATGCACACACAGACAAGCATACGCAGGGACATGCACAGACATACACATATATACACATATGCATGCACACATGGACATACATGCACAGAGACATACACAGACATGCCTGCAATACCTGCAGAGACACGTATGCACACAATGCACACACAGACAAGCATACGCAGGGACATGCACAGGCACACATGCATACATATATATACACATATGCATGCACACATGGACATGCATGCACACAGAGACATACACAGACATGCCTGCAATGCCTGCAGAGATACGTATGCACACGCACACACAGAGACACACACGGACACCCCTGCACACACGTGCTGGCTGTACAGATTCAGAGCTGCCATCAGCCCCAGGCTCCCAGCAGGTGCTCAGCACGCGGCTGAATGGGAGGGAACTGGTTCCTCAGGCACCGACTCTGTGCTGAGCACCTCAGTCCGGGGCCCTCAGTACCGCTCTGTGAGGCCAGACAGGCGAGCCCATTGGAAGGGGGAGGGGCTTAGAGCATGGATTCTGAAGTCAGGCTCTGCCTCAGTCTCTGCCAGGCCTGGAAAGGCCGCGTCTCATCTCCAAGCCTCTGTTTCCCTGTCTGCACATTGCAGGGGCGGCTCCCCTCACAGCTCTGGGAGGGGGGGCCGGGGGGGGGGGAACAGACATTCCCGTGCAGGACCTGGCTCGTGGAGGCGCTTCACCCATGCCAGCTTTCATGACAATGGGGATAGGAAAACCCTAACAGAGCTACTGTCGTTCAAACAGCACAGCCTGGGCAAGACCTTAGACAGGGACCTCCCCACCCAACAGGGCCTGGGTTTTCTCATCCGAAAAACAGGCCTGACGCAGCCCCTGTGTCACAGGCTGGAGAGCGAGTGTGGCTCAGGAGACTCTGGCCCACCACAGGGACCACAGGGGATCAGCAACGCCAGTGATCTGTCCGCATCTGCGCTACAAAGGGCAGCCACTGGCCTCATGCGGCTCCCGCCTGGAGCCTTCCTGGCGGGGTCCTGGCCTCAGGGGTGCCCCCCCCTGCAGCCAAGGGACAGGGCTAGCAGCACTGGCTGCCTCTGAGAAGTCCCGACACAGACCCACAGCACCCACCCGCCTGCCCAGGGGCCAGAGGCCCCAGATCCCAGCCCGAGGGTTGGCGGTACCTGGCGGGGGGTAGCACTGCAGCAGCCGCAGGAGCTTCACTGAGAGCCAGGGCGCGGGGACGAAGTAGTAGGTGTAGTCCTGGAGGTCAGTGGAGGCCGAGGAGACGATCTGGGGGCAGGAACGGGGAGGTGAAGCAGGGTCACCAGGCTGGGGTGGGGGGGGCAATGCTGCCTTTCCCAGGGGTGACGGGGAGGATCTGGGACAGAGCCCGGCTGTAGGGGGACAGGATCTGCCCATCTGATTCCCTTACTGTGAGCTCCCGATTCCAACTCTGCGCCCCCCAAAACCCTGGCTACATCCACCAGCGCACACATCACACCCACAGTCCTCCCCCGAGACTGGAAGCCGCTCAGGGGCAGGAACTGGGTCCCTGGGCCTCATACAAGGTCAGACCCCAGAAAGGCTCAGGGTATACAAAGGTGGAGAATTAGTGAAAGAGAGTGTGACTTTGTTTCCTCACGGCAAACTCCTACTCAACCCTGAAAACCCCTTCTCCAAGAAGCATTCCCACCATGCTCTGTGCCACCTCCATGATAGTATTGTGCCCGACCCCCAATGTCACTTTCTGTCTCCCCGACCAGGCTGGCCCACAGGACTATGTGGATATGTGGGGAATGAATAAAACAGTGGTTCCCAAACTTACTTGGCCTACCGCCCCCTTTCCAGAAAAAATATTACTCAGCGCCCCCTGGAAATTAATTTTTTTAAAATTTTAATAGCAATTAAACAGAAAGATATATGTATTAATGTTTCTACCTTTTTCGTAAAATATAGTAAAGAAAGGTGTAAATTAGAAACATTGAAGTTTGAAATTATGAAACTATTTATTGAACTCAGAATAGAAAGGTAATACAAAAAAAGTTAAAACAAATGCACCTGTGGCCATCACCGCCCCCCCTGGATCGCTGCAGCGCCCACCAGGGGGTGGTAGCGCCCACTTTGGGAATCACTGGAATAAAAGAATGATGGAATGGCTCCACCGGTATATATAGCTCAGTGGCTGAGTGTCAACCATGAACTAGGAGGTCAAGGTTCGATTCCTAGTCAGGGCACATGCCTGGGTTGCGGGGCCCATCCCCCAGTAGGGGGCGTGCAGGAAGCAGCCGATCAGTGATTCTCTCTCATCATTGATGCTTCTATCTCTATCCCTCTCCCTTGCTCTCTAAAATCAATAAAAATTCATTAAAAAAAATAATTGAATGACTGAGCTGGTGTGCTGTTCTCTTGCCTGAGAAGCCAGGCCTCTTCTTACGTCCCAGAAAATGTTTATATTGACTCCTGAGTCCCAATTCAGGGATCACACTCCCAGAGGCCTTCCCGGATTCCCGGGCTGGGTAAAGTGCTTCCTTTGGGGGCCTACAACGCCCTCTGCTACCTCCACAATAGCACAAACCTCCCCTTTTATGGTCATTTGTGACTGAGTGGCCTGCCCGCCACACGCCCCTCCTCCAAGAGGAAAGGGGGCTTCTTGAGGCTGAGGCCTGACGCATCCATGTTCCCCACCAGCCCACAGAGCCGGGCTCCCAGGAAGCCCCGGGGCCGCTCCCAGGACAGGGTGTGGGGGAGGAGAGGAGAGAGGACAGAGCGAAGGGAGAGGCATGGGAAGGGAGTGGAGGAAAAGCAGGAGGGAGAAAGACAGAGGGGCGGGCGGGAGGGAGGCAAGTAAGGATGGCGGCTCTCACTTCCTGGGTGCTCTCCACGTGCCAGGCCCCGTTCTAACGCTTTATGTCAGTGGTTCTCAACCTTCTAGCCCTTTAAATACAGTTCCTCATGTGGTGACCCAACCATAAAATTATTTTCGTTGCTACTTCATCACTGTCATGTTGCTAC